GTTGCTTTGGGTAGTAACCCCAATAGTTTCTATTTTTAGCAGTTTGACTTCTTTGTTTTTTGGGTGACCCATTCTAAGTTTGCATCGCGTTGCGTTGTAATTTTAGGAAGTTTGTGGTTTCCTTACTAATGCATCTAACCGGTTATTTTGATGCCTGAATTCGATCCTTGCTCTATATTGGCTGGGTGTATGGTGCAATCAAAGAAATATATCCCTTATATTTTGGCTTCGCTTCTGATTATGCAAGATTCTCATGTAGTTTCTTGTCCAGTTCTTGTCTTTGTGGCCCTGGAATTATCTTGTCCTGAGTTGTTGATAATTGATTCGCTTTCACTGTGCTGTTTGACGGGATCTCCAGTGCAGTACATTAGTTCCGTTCTTGATTGTCTTTTGGTAGCAGACAATCTGGAATATTTAGGGACCACGAGTAAAATGAACTTGAGGGACTTGAGAATAATAGCCATCGACCAGCAGACCACGTACGACCAAGATCAACCGATACGATCGACCATATATCCTCAGTTCACACATCTAGGGAATTATCCTATTTCACAAGTTGGTGGTGACGCACCGTCTAGTGTCCTACAGCTAGATTGGTCGAAAAGTAAAACTAACGCTTCAGTTCATAGCTATATGACGCATACCACATTTACACTGCATAATGACCTCGAAGGTACAAGCTACTTTTAATGTGGCGGAGAATACCTATCATTTTGTCCCCTGCTACTGACATGAAGAGTAATGGTCCAGCATTGGGGAGGACATACAGTTGTCGGACAACGAAATTACCGTCTGACTGACGTTAAGTAGACCGTGTGGTTGACGGAGATTCGGGGGCCACTCCTACCTGTTGAGCCCCAAGAAGGGCGAAAGCAGCCGTGAGCTGTCGAGGAAATTTCAGCAGCCTTTTGAGTAGCGTGTCACGACTAGACAATTGAATTGCTTTCTAAACGTTCTTCGTGCGTGTGAAGGACTGTGGTGGGCACTTTACGAAATTCCTTTTCGGCTTCGAACAAAATTAAGTCTCACTATGTGTTTCAGTGGTGGGATATCTTCAAAGAGAAAACGGAGGGCGCTATATCTTCTATAATAGCACAATCACACTAAGATTTTGACTAGTATCTTCGTTCGTTCCTTTTTTTGACTACCCGACGTCGCCTAAGAATTTTTAACAACCATGAGATACATCAGCAACTATCAACCCACATGCTCATTTAGCCAGAGGATATAACTAAGGAGATTACCTTCGCGTAACAAGCCTAGAAACTCGACTTCGAATAGGTTGGCTTCGCCCTTCACACCTCTGGTGCGAACAACCTGCCTATAGGTGAATCCTGCTCTGCAGCCGTCTTGCGAAATCGAAGTTGATACCTCGCCTTGATGTGCTTCGAATACACGTGGTAGGCGCGCATGTTGAGCACCGGATCCAGCCAATGGACTTTTTGGGGTTTGGTATTTCTCACCCTCTTGTTCCAACCAAATTGCTGGTTTTGTTACAGGACGGAAGCACACAGTGTCATACGAACTGGCTATGACTTCGTCCCCTTGTTCAGCTCCTACCGTACGGGGGGGCATGGTTAACTAGCGTCCGTGTGCTCACATCGGGGTCAGTACGTGTAGCTGATGAACAACAACGGTGGGCTCCATGAGGACACTGCGTTATAATTATTGCCGGAGCGAGTGTGGGACATCGCAGTGTTCAAGTCGTAGCTTAGGTCGTTGTTGTGTGCCCTCAGGATGCTGACACAGACTGCCACACGTCTTATAAGGATGAGGGAACTGAAGAAAAGGCTACTGGTTAGATTCATATCATGTGCGGTAGTGCAGAGGCACAGCAGGCTGGTTGGATGCTCCAACATAATCTGGTTTCATCAGTGTGGATGTGTGGTAATCAACAATAGTGGGTAATGTGTTACTCATTGACTAAATGGTTGCTTGATGCTTAACTATGCAGTAAGAGGTATGTGCAAAATCTCCATCAGGATTTTCAGGCCACTGTGGAGTTTCAATCCCCAAAAAATTGCACGAGCCAGTACTTTTGTGTAATACACACGGCACCATTATGTAAGCGACTTTCATCACCTTCCTCTTGACCTGTTACTCGATTGTCCCACACGGATCACCGTAAAAACCTTATCTGCAGATAGCGAACCCACGCTAGCCTCTCATGACCCTAACGAACGGAGACACATAAGAGACACACGGCCACGGATCAAAAGCCTGGGTATCACATCTGACTCCAAGTCATATGTGGATTCATTCTTTTTTAACGGAGGATTGTAAGAGGTATTAGAAGCAAACATTGTTCACTCATATCTGTCCGTCCTAGACACATAACCTTCAGATTTCGTGCCATTGAATGTTTACTTCGTATCACCTTATTGTTCTATCTTTACCATTGGCAATCCACCGCACTAATCGGTGTTGGCAGACACCTGGCTGCGAATGCAAGTCCTACCCTTTATGTATTTTCACTGGTTCAGTCACATAAAACATCTGTCGCCCCAAAGTCGTTTCGCGAATAGATATTACTCATAACACGGGAGCAGTACTCATGAACCACAGATTGATCGCGGCCAATTTGTAGGCTTTTATGCGGTGGTGACAAGGCTCCAGCTCAACTTCATTCGGATCCACAGGTCGGTCACTCACCAGCATTCGATGCAGTCCAAATAAATGACGCCAAACGACAGTTGGCACTGCATGGCTTTCTTAGGAGCTCATTGAAGTTTTTTGGTGTAAAATTGGTGTAAAAATTAATGACGTCTACTTTCTTCCCTGTGGTTCTGACGCAACATTTGACACCTGTACAGAGCCGATTGGCTCACGGTTACCTCCATCCCATTGGTCGGTTGTATTGAATCGGGTAGAGGGGGCAGCGTTCGGGGTTTTTCGAGTTGGAGGATGAGTTGAGGCAGACAAACTCCCTTCGGGCAGTGGCTCTTCATTCTATGGTGCATCATGGGCTGCACTGAATACACATTCGTAGGAAAATGCAACGTATAGAATGGATGTTCGGAAGACCGAGTAAAATCCCCAATTTTTAAGATTCAGCGGAATCATATGAGTGAAAGCGAGATGGGAGGTTTTAACACATCGAATAATCTACTGGGACACATGCTCCTATACTCTTGTGTACCAAAGGCACGCACTACACCCGAACTGTACAAATTGGGCACACACAACTCTGATCTGTATCTTTCAATAGCAAAGTATTGATTTAATTGATACGTTCTATTGAGAGCATTCGGCCCTTCCAACAAATTGTCTGTTCGCTAAAGTTTCGACATCTTAGCATTGTTTCACATGAGAGCTATCCAACTAATCGCATATATTGAATTCGTAAGTCCATAAATTAAGAGAGGATTTCTCCGTAATGCACTGAGAACCTCTCGAGGCACCGCGGTAGTTCAGAAAACTAAGGAAATGGTTTATTAACCAATCACACTGTAGAAGAAAAGTACTCACACTGTCTGTGTAGACTGTGTCTAAAGGTCGGGATTCGAGAGAGACGTCGATCACACACGGATTCAGATCACTTGGAAAAACAGCGCCTGGTCAGTTTGATTGGTCAAACGACACAAGAGAAACTACCTTTTGTTCCATTCTTGAAGGCCAAACAACAAATCACGGTGGTTTTCAAGTTTTGAAACTCAATAGATGGAACAGCCTGCAAAGCCTTTCACAAAAGACGCACGTGTTTTTAACAAATAACTTCTGGAGCCGATACACACCCTTGCAACCGAGACGAACGCTGCAGGCAGTTCCTCATTACTTGACGATAATCTGGAAAAAACTCGCCTGGTCAGTTTGATTGGTCAAACAACACAAGAGAAACTATCTTTTGTTCCATTCTTGAAGGCCAAACAACAAATCACGGTGGTTTTCAAGTTTTGAAACTCAATAGATGGAACAGCCTGCAAAGCCTTTCACAAAAGACGCACGTGTTTTTAACAAATAACTTCTGGAGCCGATACACACCCTTGCAACCGAGACGAACGCTGCAGGCAGTTCCTCATTACTTGACGATAATCCAATCACTTCGGTGTCTTTCTACACTGAAAAATTCTGGGCATAATAGTACCGCGTTCACAGCGTGATATTTAGAACTTTTCAATTGAGCTACCGTTTAATTTCTACATAGCCCAGGGGGTAGAAAAACGACACGTCAAGTGAGCCTTCCGGGTGAGGGTTGTTACTCGAGGAGGCAGCCAACACGTGACCACATGACGTGGATTCTCAGGATGGAAGACGAGTGGCGCCATATCCTGTCCAAGTACGAGTTAATCACATCGCTGACAACCCCCTCGTGGCCTTAAGTTAATAGGTCACGGGTTCGAATCGCTCCGAAGGTTCATGAGGTGCGCACTGATGATGATTCGCTTATTTGGCACAGACTGGCTTGAGTTAGGGGACGAAAGCTCAATTGGAAACACTAGCATCCATCCGTCGAATAAAGCCCCTGACGAGTCCGTTTTCGAGTCACCCTAAATAGCCGCTTGTGCTCACGAATATCCATTTGTTTTACCTGTAGTTCTGAGTAAGTGCAACCGGCTTACTAAGTAGTTGACGGCAAATTCAGAACGTCAAAACAACAGCATTTCGTTGTGCTTCGAACTCCCTCGTGTACACGATCTCCCTATTTGTCGCATGGTTGGCTACCCATAGTCAATCTTTTATACCATTCCAGTGCATTTCATGAATACAAAATCAACAGGGGTGACCCATACGGTCAAATTCTGTCTGTCTGTCCAGACATGTCTACTCTCAACATTTTTCTATTTTGACCGACAAGTACCGGGAACTTCCAGACCCCCTCCCCCAGTTCTTATTTGTTACGAAACTTTTAGTAGCACTTTTGCGACCACAACAACTTGCTAACCACAGAAAGGCACATATTGAAGGCGGCAGTTGTGTTGTAGAAATGACGGTGCTTTAAAAACAGGACTGTGCAGTTTTATTTTTATGCTAAAAAGTCTGTTTTACGTACGAAGAATCCAAAATGATTTGGCTGCTCAAAAACGTCAGTCAGTACAAAACTAGGTTAGGGCACAAAACAGTTATTAAAAACCAACCGATTTTCATTCAATGGACAAGTGAATTTCTTTCCTATACTTGCAAAATTACAGTAGGACCTTACGGAAATGGAAAAATATGAAGCTCCATTTTGTGGGTTCGGGCTGCAGGAATGTACTTTTATCCGTCATGGTCATTTTTCTTTCTTTTATCAGCCATACTCAAGATGCCTTCGTCTGACAAAGAATGCAGTTCCCGCGGTAAATTCCCACTTCGCCGATAACCCAGACAGGCTTTCAGCAAGGTGACTGCCGTGCTAATTGTCCGGTCCACTTCACACTGCGTCCCAATCAGAGGATTTAATTCAACTAACTCCACGACTGACAGTTTACCTGTAGGTGGAAAGTAACGGAGAAGCGATGAGGAATCTAGTGACATGATTGATACGTGATTAATGATAAGAATAATGCTAGCTTTAGTGAGTAGTAACCGTTCATCATTGGATGTGATGAGCGATCACTAGTCAGGAAAATGTACATTGTAGAAACAAACATAAAAAGCCTACGGCCCTTCAAGAGATATTAGTTATACCATTCCGAACCGCTTCGGTTCAAAAGTGACAGACTATGATTCTCACCCGTTACTTTCCATTTACCGTGGAAAACTACGCACAGCCTAGAATCAGATATCACGAAAAACCGAGCAGTGTTCAACTGACTGGAGCTTTCCAAACGAACGTTCCATATATCAGTCAGTTTTTAAAAAAAGTAACAGCGTTAGACACATCACCATTGACAGCTTAACCGGATATGATTCTCAATCAAGTCCCGAAGCCGAAATCCGCTACTGCCATTTACATACGCATTTTAATTTTTATTCAACCGAACTACTGTGCTTGTCTGATATAGGTTGTCAAACACGGGTCATGTTATCACCACCAACGGCCAGATAGTTCTGAACCAAAACAAGGCTATTCAGTGATTCTATCTGATAAATTACATGCGTCCGGCGTACGTTGAACTAGTGGTAGCACGCTAGCGTTGCATTCCAGATGTCCGGCGCTCGAAGCTGGGCACGGCCAAGAATATGTGTAGCTGATGAGCCCCAGTCAAACTGAAACTAGATTCCACTGCTTCTAGAGCCCACATGCAGCTTCATATTGACCAACCTAAAGGAACACTACCGATGGTCCGTCACTATCAGACGATAATCCGATCCTACCGCCAGTTACACCTAACTGCATCGATATCTTTCGATAGTCTGAAAATTGCTATACAATAGTGATTTAATAATAATCAATTGAGACTACGTCCAATTTATAAGTACCTCAAGGGAAAGAATAATTCACAATTAACATGAACCTTTCAGCTGAGAAGTCGCTATCTGAGGAGCTAGCCGAGACGTAGCCATGTTCTGGGGATTCTATGATCGGAGAGCGAGTGGCGTTATATCCTCTCCACCTGCGACACAATTCGGTTCAGTTATCCTCACCTAAATACCGTGTACCCAGTTGCGGTGGTTTCAGCTGCTACAGCTTCGCTCATTGCGGATAAGGGAATGAGAGCTACGTGTGGGAAACGATTATCTGTTTACGCACTGCTTGTACTCACCGCTTCTGGTGTGCCACTCCATGGCTGCTTGATTTATGCAAAACCTCATGGAGACGTTACCGTTTAGTTTGTTTACAAAGTTCCTGGTATTAATATACAGGAAACGAGTCTCCGGATGCACCACTACCAAGCACAAAGTGTTAGCCTTCTGTAATGCTACTCTGGCGAACAGGCAATATTCAACATCGTCCCAGTGGATCCACACGTCTCTGTTCGGTATGAGATAACTGCTTACTAGCTTTTAGTGTTCGGGCCAATATCCACCCTGGTTGCCGCTTAATTAAGCCCATTAGGCATTCGCTCTCTCTTGCAGCCTCCACTTTTCTGCCTCAATTTGTGCAGCTGATCAGTTACCCTCTTCTCTGAACTGCTCTCTTAGCCGAATAAACATTGCTGAAACTGTATCACTACTACTATATACTTCCTTCGGACTGGTTGATAAACAGATTAGGACGGCATTTGTGTGTGTTTGTTTCCCATTTTTGTTGTATGCCACGCAGTCTAGTAAGGGCAGTGCATCCGAAGTGAACTCTAGTTCAAGCTCTATTCCATTGTCACTAGGTAAGCGATCCTTAAAAAATTGATTCGGCTGTCCCTATCATAGACTCAATGTTACATCTTCGTCGCCCAATGACCGAAAGCTGCCATCACGGGTTGAAATCAGTATTTCCATCTGAATTTGCTGTTATTTACACAAAGAACTGATTACATTCCGGCTAGTATCTTAATCAGCGACTCCACTGAACTCAAAGAAACTGGTGCTAAAGAGGACCACTCGAGACTAGATCGTTGGATTGGGGGAGATATGCACACTGACGAAAGAAATCTACTCACCAGTAAGCAAAGTTGAAGACAGAGAAAGGGGGGATATTGTTTTTTATTATTTTTTTTCGTTATATTCAACGAGTCACACCAATAATCGCTAGAAGAAAAGGTCATCATGCAAATTGAACTGTTGTCAACGCTGTGGTGGCGGCCATTCTCGCGTGTTCCCTGTGAGCTCTCGGTATTTATGATCACCCGAGCTATCCTACGCTCGAGATAGCATAGTAGTTAATGTACGGACTTACCTACCGGAAGGGCTGTGGTTCAAACCCAGCCTCAGCATCTGGACTGCTCTTGCCTAAGGTTAGGCACCTTGGAAACAGCTCAGTCCTCACACTTCCGTCTGGTGGTTTGGCAGCTAAACACCGGAAGAGTGTTACAGCTGGGAAGTTGTTAACTATCATTATTTATACACCTATCCAATCCGCATTAGCAATGGCGAAATGCCTCGGGTGACTAGGCTTTAAGAAAAAACCGTGTTAGCCACTAAGACTAATGTATCGCACTGCTCCGTCCCTTCACAGAAAAGTCATACTGATGTCAGCATGAAGCATCTGGACTGCTCTTGCCTAAGGTTAGGCACCTTGGAAACAGCTCAGTCCTCACACTTCCGTCTGGTGGTTTGGCAGCTAAACACCGGAAGAGTGTTACAGCTGGGAAGTTGTTAACTATCATTATTTATACACCTATCCAATCCGCATTAGCAATGGCGAAATGCCTCGGGTGACTAGGCTTTAAGAAAAAACCGTGTTAGCCACTAAGACTAATGTATCGCACTGCTCCGTCCCTTCACAGAAAAGTCATACTGATGTCAGCATGATTGGTAACGACAGCTTGCAAGAAGGTTGCCAAACCTTGAGGAACATCCAGCTAGTTATTTTGCAATATTTAATATCGCCTCTGGCCGTTAGTAGGTTCATTAGTAGTAGATATAACTCCATAAAATCCCGTCGGCGTGGCCTATTATTTTTGCGGTCAAGATAAATTGAATGATGGGAGGCGAGATGTCTCAAGTGGGTAGAGCGTGAATTTACTAATCGGAAGTTCCGTGGTTCGAGCCCGACCTCTGCCTCTCGACTTCCCCTGTCTAGGCTTGGGCAACCTGGCAGTATCTCAGTCCTCGTGCTTCCTTCGGGTTGCATGGCAGCTTGGCACCGAAAGGGTGTTAAAGCTGAACGATTTTTTTTAAATTGGGTGACAGAGTATCCACCGGTCTGACCTACCTGTCGCATGAACTGCTTCACAAATGCGCAAACCTTCACGAAGCGTCAAACCCCCCGGCACTGGAGTTCCTGTGCTTGGTGCCAGAGTCGGGTCTATTGCATCAATATCGAAACTCAGATGGATTGGACGTTCAAGTCTGTAAAAATTGGAACCACAAAACGTACTTGTAAAAATCACAGGACATTCAATACGTTAAGTAAATATGAGCCGAAATATTCATCCTTCGTGTTCCGAACGCTAGCAGTAGTGGGATCAGTGTTTACATTTCATACGAAGGATACAATGAACAGGTAACTAAAATCTAAAGTAGGAGCAACAGTGAAAGCTGAATCGACTAGAAACACACAATACTACTGGTAAACGTCTCTCCTGAAAACCAAAGAAACCTAGAATTACGTGGTTAAAAAAACTGAGAAGATAAATCAAGGGAAATTGAGCTCCTCCATGCTGTTAAAACGGCCTTTGCAATCGGGGGACAAACATCCGCACTTTCCAAGTGTATGGCACAAAGTAGAGCGCATTAGCAGGTGTGCGATATAATCCTGAAGGGCGCATACCCTCGGGACCGACCGAACTCGTTTTCTGCGGAACTCAGTCTCTTAGAGGAAGTTTAGGTCTGAACCATTTCTCTTTACGACTATAGTGGACGAAGTGGCACGATAGAAAATGAATAAAGAGGTGGTTTCACTGATTTACCGGAAATACAGCCGGGTACCATGATCGAGCATGGAGAGAACCAATTAAGCTGATCTGTGAAATGAGCTGGCATTTGGCCCGTGTTGAATAAGATATACAAAAAAAACACTGGACATCTTTGTCGTAAGTCTTTGCTTGCCTTGTTGCAGCCTTCATCACAGAATGCTCTCCACTCTTTCGGAACTATTTCCTGGCTGCTTCTATGTAACTTGATCCGTTACCGGAATGAAATAAACTGCAAACTACTGAAACGTGTCTATGCTTCAAAGCTCATCTGATCCATGACGAGATTCATGGGTCCTCTCCTAAGTCGTCTTCTAGCAAGGCAAACATGAAGGCATGCACATTTTAAAAAAGCCTCATCAAGTGCTGATTTTGATTACGTCCCAAGGCTACTTGAGCCAAGAGTTACAAGTTTCCGATCATCCGACATAATAAGATTGACCACAATTTGGTGCATTCTGGGCAGTCTCATGTAATGAATGATTCTAACACGTGTACCATATCTTGCCCTAATGTACATCGTGGCTTCAATGGCGTCTAATTAAATAGGTTTCTAAACGGCCATCCTAGATGGACAGCCAAAACCGAAATGTGAAATGATGTACGGTCAAAACATAGTCTTCAGCCTGAGCGACAAGACAGCTGTTTTCTTCGAAATTAGTCTATCGCTTGCCATACAACTGAATTTGGGACAGGGCCTCAAGACGAGTCCCAGATATGGCTAAGTCGGTTGTGGGCTGCGAGAGCGCTCAGCAACCTTATGAGCAGCTTTTTTTAGGACAGGGTTGTTCCGCTCTTTTTTCGGAAACCCAGACCTTTCACGGCCGCTCTATCAAGGGGACAAGTACTGCATAACATAAGACCGCAAATAGTACTGATGGGCTTTATTCGGATTCCGGACGGCCTGCGAAAGTTATTTCATTAATTCAGAGTGGTTATCAAATAAACCGATGGTCTTGTTGTTGCCCATAATGGGAATATTCAATGCTAGACCAAACTGATGTTAGACTCTTGCCATTTGGTTTCCAGTTGAACCACACCTACTATTGGCCATTTCCCATTTTCGTAAAGAAACATGATTAAAATACATGGAGCGAAGTACACTATGTTGGAGTTGCTCAGTGTTCCGAAGTACTGGCCTGCACTGTAACAGAGGTATGCTACCACAGAACATGTTGGTATAGGGCACCAAGGTGGATGAAATTCCTTGGCACATGGTTATTTGCATGCATCAGCCGCGATTCTATCGGAACCAAGGCCACTATACACTTATCCTTCCGAAACACATCCAAAGAACCAAATGAACAACCCGCCCAAAGCTGCAAGTTACCCTTCGTCGTATGCCACTTTTTACTCACCTGGGATTCACGAACTCGAGTGCCTTGTGGATTACTGCTTCGATGCCCATTTGATCAATGTCCACCATCGTAAAATAAGGGATTCCGTTCCTGCGCAGATCGTATCTGTGAATTATAAATTGTGCGAAATTTCTGATAAACTTCTCACAAGCGTGCAAGAGTCATGCCATCTGTCGGATCTTTACTGACATTTCATTTTTGGGGAAACATTGTAAGTAACTTCGAAAAGCAACGCATTAGAAGGACATTGCACAGAGGTCATCTAGACCAAGGGAGCAGTAATCCAAAGTAGCCTAATAAGCCACAAGTTCGCAGTAAGAGGGAAGGCCAAACCGAACAGAACCTGATCTGTGTCAAAGGGTGGAGCGGGTCGTAAGAGTAGCTCAGACTGTTTCCCAGTTAAAAAATAACAGAAAAACCGATCAAACACAAACGTTGAGACGTAAATATGAGTCCTTGTGCTGCTCTATGAGCTATAACGTGAGAGCGTATGGAGATATGTTCAAAAGCTGCTCCTGTATTACGTAGCCATGCAGAACATAAAAAAGATCAATTTTCGGCGTTGAATTTCCTTCAGCAACTAGCCGCCACTTGACGCCAGTACTCCACCATAACATAGGAAATACGAAAGCTGAAACAGAACTGACCATTTAGGTCTTTAACTATGTCATCGAGATCGAGTCTTTGATGAAATTACGGCGGCTGGAAACGTAAGGTGTTTGTCAGAAATCGAAACTACCATGGATTTGCTGGTGGTGTAAAACCCAGATCCCGGGAGTCCACACGGAGGCATCGTAAGATTTTTGTCATGTATCTAGGGGCAACTGGTAAGTCATCCTAAAGATTTTACCGGAACACCCTATGGAAAAGATCTCGGCGTCTTAGAATGAAACATGCTATTCGTGGCTGTACGTGGGCTGCAAAAATGCCCGAACAAGAGAACAATAAGCGTTCTCAACCAAAGCCTTTGACTCAGAAGCTTACCGGTAAGGCAGGGGCGGTTGGCATAAGACCGTCAGAGCATCCCAGATTTTTAAGGATCAAGTCGTCACATATGCTCCAATCCCAACATGGTGGACCAGCAGACTGTGTTAGTCAGACATCTACAAATTAGACAACCTGATATGAGACTCTGAGTGCCACATTTTACTCTCCAGTATAGCTCAGTGGGTTATGGAAATGTGTGAACTGTCGCACCGCGGTGAGATCCAATCTCCTCGTGATAGAAGATGGAAACGGTCTGAGGAAAGTCAACGATGGCGTCGAAAGTGGACCCAAACCTCGAGATCACAGAAGAAAGCCATAGAGACCGCGTCACTTCTGAAAGGAATCTTTAACCAACCATAGAGGCATAGAGGCTGCGTCACTTCTGAAAGGAATCTTTAACCATGAACTACGGCTGCTTGAAATGGTCGGAAACCACTAGAAAGGAACCCCTTTTGGTGCGTGATCTGGTTGTTGCCGAGCACTTCACATTGTGCTAGAGAAGCCACTGGGGGGAGCTATGGTCCGCCTAGCTGATTGGACATCTAAAAACACATGGCAGAGTGCAGTTCATTCAAGCAAACCGTGGAAAAATGTCGAAGTATCCACGTTCGTTTCGGTCGGCTGATAATCAACAACGTTTGGATGATTGCGTATTTTACCGGTCAAATAAGGAATGAACCAAAACAGGCAGTTTCGTTGGCCACAGTAGGGGGCGTCACGAGGAGAGGAAATGCTTGGCACCCCTCGGGAGGAGCCTAACACCAAGGCCGCTCCGAAGTTTGAATTGGAATGGCCCTAATTTGGAGGAGCGATGGATAAAATTTTGTGGAGCAGAACAATGTCGTACATCTTTCTGAGCTTATAATAATCTACGTATGGCAGTACTGGCAGGCCTTGTGCCACCATCACAGCAGTGGCAGTAATTTTATCAGAATGTTCGAAGTATGCTTGACTCTAAATTATGTTTGAACTGTTTAATATTCATCACAGTGCTGTCATGTCCATGCTCCATTCGGCATGCACCAGCAGATTCGCACCTTTTTCAACGCACTACTATCCACCAGTATGAGTAGCACGTGTCAGAGAAAACAAATTTGATCACCGAGGACAAAAATATGGGAAGATCGAAACACGAACTAGAAATTATTGTGTTGATCCCACTCAGACGCCTTTGGCTATCAGGAGTGATCCTTCTTTAGGAGATGGCAGCCCAAATGCCCATCATATTATGGTGGTTTTGGGGTTCGGCATTATTGCGGAGAACAGTTTGGCCCTCTGTGGAGTCAAAGTTCTTACATTAAATTTGCCACTCATTGTTGACAATTCGCTAGAGAAAAGGACCGTTGAGCATCCACCAACTTATGAGCGGCCTTGATCATTCACTCAAAGTAAAGTGAATCGTGCGAAAACAGACTTTTTGATTTCTTATCCGACTAAAACAAATACAGTCGATTAGTCGAGTCCAATCACGGTAGAAGGATTAACTAAGGAGCCGGAATGTTTGTTAAACTGTGCGCACAGTATAGGAGTCATGTTGATAAGAAACTAGTTTTCGGCCATGTTATCAATGATGCCCTAATTAAAACCAGTCCCAGACGGGACGCTGTGGTATGTAAGCGCCATTCCGATTGCTCCGGTTGTGACCAGTCTCTTTGAGTTTTTCAGCAAACTGATATGCACGTAGAATTGCGCTCTTATTCGGCGGAGGACATGTGTAGCTTAAAGTGACATTCACGAGACCGGTATAAACTGGTAAGGCTAGAAAATGTCCATCCATTCCTAGCAATTGCTGCCGTTTGAAGCAGCTGCCTTAAGTGCTCGCTGACATCCATTCTGTGACAGGTTCTATTGCCTGAGGTTACATACAGAGAGAAGCAAAGACCAGGACGCCTACCTCCGCAACCCTTTTTTTCAAACACTATGATGAAAAGATGTAAGTTTGTACTCATTTAGAAGTGAAAGAACAGGATGCCTTGTTCTCTCCACCGAAGCTTTCAAGCCTGGGGGGAATAAAGATAGACGGCTTTTCGAGAACACAGTGACTCGCACAAGGTAGTGTTTCGGTGACTGAAGGCCAGCTTCGTTGAAAACGCTCTACAGCGAACAGCACCACTTTAACTGAGTCGTCCCTTTTCTTGAAAACACTTCCCTGAAAGTTTAATTCGGGTTGTCCGTCGCCAATTTGGTATTCAACTAAGAAATACATTCAGAAATTTGGAAACCAAGCCTACATGAACAGCCTGAACAACAAAAAGGTTAAATAAGCAAGCTAGAACATTTACTTGTTACACCTGAATTGGGTAAGCCCAACGACGGAACAAGGAGAAGGAGACCATGAACAAGACTGTGTTGTCAATCGACCATGTAGAGCTAGTGCGTAAATATACAGGATGGCTGAATCGCCAAATATGGTCACTTGCTTGTTCGTTCTTGTCCAGCCAATGGCGACGTTTCTGACTTGACCATTTGTACACCCGCTCCGCTGGTCACATGCTGCTAAGCTACGTTTGGCGAGATCCGCCCACGCACTTGCTAGCCGGATCGTCTGTTGACCGGCGCTGACCTCTGCTACGCGTCCTAACAACCAGTGCCACACAATATAGCATTTTTATTTCCTCTGAATGGGGAACAATTCTATTCAAGGCTGAAATATCGTGACCTCCCTGGTATCTGTAATTTCGAGTGTAGGCTTGAATTCACTACCTCGCAAGTCATTCAGAAATCAAATTAATGTGAAAATCTAGGTAAAACAAAAAGTAACGTGGCACATTTACCGACAAAACTTACAGTTCGTGCCGCTCCAGATCGCGCAGACCAATGTAGACGATGTCCGTCGCTTTCAAGCTGAAAATAAGCGAAAGTGAGGGTATTCATGTCGGAGAATGGAACTATCAATACAAACAGGCAACGTCAGTTGGTTAGCGAGCTACACTCCATTGTAATCTTGTTTTTTAACACAGAAGCTATCAAGGTTTGCGACTGCCTCAAATTTGCTCAAAAAGCAGTGATTTCTCGACGTATTTGTATTCTAGGTATAGAACAAGCTCTGTACAAAGTATTTGACACATAAAAGAACAGGGATGGATCAGGTAGAACTGTAGCGGAAACACCGACCAAATGATTGCATATTCAGGGCACTTATGATTGACACCGTAATTGCGTACGATCTGTTGAACTACGCGCGAGCCTATAACTCGTTGGATTGTCTTGAAATATGCAGCTGTGTACTTTGGAACTTTGGCGTAAAGCTCGAACGCGAACGAGGTGCACTAAGTACACTTTCTACAGTAAGCCTATTGAGTACTCTCCCGTTATGAGTATGAATAGTGTGATCCCCTTCTTGAGAACGAGTGCCGATCAGCCGTTTTTGACCGAACAGTTTGGTCTTCAACCACCGTTTGAAAGGTCGTGGTTCCGATTCCCAAAAAGGATGAAACAGCAGTGTTGTGCTTCTTGGCTCTTCAGTACAGACCGACTTCACTCAAAGGGCAAAGTTTCGGTTGAAGTTGTCTTGTTAGTCCAAGAGATTTGGGTGTGATCAGGCGCCATGCTTTTCGTCACTCATCAATAGCGTCAGCAGTCAGCTCCACACCTACTTACAATGGTCCGTGTTGCATTCCAATAGAAACATCAACGCAGCTTCGGATAATTGCATCCACACGGACCTGCCTCTGGAACTAAATATCTGTTGAAGAACATCAAAAATTTACATTCGTCGGCACAACTCCACGCTTTTTTTACTTATTTTAATTCCCTCAGGGTGTCTTTGAATATCACAGCAATTTGTTTTCAACATTTTACGTGGAATTCGGCCAATAACATTGGCACTGACACGACGCTCTCTAGCCTAACCGCACCACGGATGTAGCAGGGATGCGCGAATACCTTTGGCCCACAAAACGGATTAATTGAGAATGCGGTCTGGCTGCCCTTGAACGATTACAAACTTGGCTTCCAACTTCACATTCGAATAACTTCGGTTGATAGCATCATGTACGCAGGTGTGAATAAGTGTTTCCACGAAACTCACCCTGTGTGTAATTTCCCCTAGTTTTGATTACGTTGTTCGCGACAGACATCGATGATTTTGTGTTCTGACGTCGAGACACTGAGATTCACGATAGATAATCTGTATTCCCAACCACTCTACGAAGAACAAACATAATAACCTCATAGATGCGAACTTAAGTATTAGGGGCTCTCGTTGGAGAAAATTTCTGTCCAACACGAAAGGATTCATATATCACTACAGAGTTCATCTAACAGTTAAACTAGATATTATCTATGGCGCAAGTGTGTGTGCTGATTGTTGATCACGTGGGTGCTGGTCTGTTCGGCGACTTGGATTGGGAACCTCTGACATCGGTCAAGGAGGACTGGGGTGCATACATCCGTTTCCGCTTGCTTTTACACAATATATTTAGTATATACGTAATAGGTAATGCAAAACAAAACAATAATTGGTGGGCGGGTACGCTGAAGTATCCTTGGTCCTTCTGAAACTTGATCGGCCTTCTGGTCTGCCATTTCTGCATTGGTTATCGCACGCTCTGTTATTTTTGAGACGTTTGCTATTTGTGGTTTATACTGGCCCATCGAAGTACCCATAATTTTAGTAGTTTTCATTGATAAGCTCCTGTGTTGTGTTACGCTGGGGTGTGGTCTCACCAAGTACGTTTCGTTGAAAGTGATTTTCCACACTCCTGGTGGTTAATTTTTCATGTTTTCGACTAATACCTTGGATATCCTCCTTCGTTCCATCAGTCTGCTAAATCACTCAGCTACCACATAGAACGGATTTCATTCCATTCCACTTGATCCTTTTATATGTTGATTTGTATTCTGCATGGTTTCACATTCGTTTCACACACCTGTGAATCCACATAGTTTCTCTGTTCTAACTATTCTTACATGGAAACTATCTTAGTTAAATTAACATGTTTTGTGGTCAAAAGCAAACATCGATCTAAGCTTTTGGGGAAAAGTTTGTGATTGTCTGAGATCCCTGTGAATAGTTTCCCTCCTGTTTGTCCAAAGGCAGTGTTCCGACATAGAATGCTGTGTACCACATGGATATTCACTTTTTTCGATCGCACTTTTGCGTTTTTAACACTACTACCCGCATCACATGATGGATTGGTGGACACCGTTGTATTATGTTGTCGTGACAGTGCTGGAAGTAATTCAGGAATGTGAGTTTACGTAAGTTTAATTCGGTTGACCTCTATCTTTTGCTCAGCTAGTAGGATTGTGTTTTTCGGAAGGTGGGGGGCATAAAAATAGTCACCCACAGCTCTTCCTTTCGCTGGAACTCTCCCGATAAACTTCAGAGTAGGTCTTTGATAGTAATTTTTCCCTTTTTTAATTTCTATAAATTGATCTGTAATCTGCATTACGCACCTGAGATACAGCTGAATAAATCCGGGACAGTAAGCGAAACTGCGCTGTTTTGTTCCACTCTCAAGTTTGTTACGGGAAGGTTGCATGAATATACTGCTCCGGTGAGTTAAGTGGAACTGACTTTTAATATTACTGCAAGGTGAAAACCTACCAGGGTTCGATTTCATTCATTTCTTCTAGATACGGTACTTCCTCTTGCAGTTCCTCCAGCAGAAACGCGACTGGCATTCCGTGTATATTACTGTACTCCGCTGACAACGGCGTGGTTATGTCCGCATGTGCATCTACCCAAATCACAGCAGCGTCCGGCTTCGCCCTCTTGTGTCCCAGTATGGAGCCCGTCGCTATGCTATGGTCTCCACCAACAATAAGAAGTGGTGAATCACTCTCTTGTGTCCAGTATGGAGCCCGTCGCTATGCTATGGTCTCCACCAACAATAAGAAGTGGTGAATCACTTTCGGTTCCGATTGACTTGGATTCCTTCAAAATTTCTTCCACGCGCTGTGCAATACTGTAAGTCGCTTTGATGAAGCTCTGACAGTTACTCATGTTAAACACTTTGTTGGTTTCTTCAGCCACATTGTCCAGGTGAACGTCACCACAATCTCTCAGTGTCACACCTACACACAAAAAAAACCATGGGGATTAGGAACAGTAGTATACCCAGCTTTGGTAATGGACGACGTGAGGAGAAACGAAAAATACCAAGAAGGACTGAGTACACTGATAACGCAGAGCAGTAGGTTTTGGACCGGTGTTTCTTTGAGGCGATGATTTCATGAATTCACGACTGGAAATCCTTTTCAAGAACGAGCAGCCCCAAGCAAAAGTTTGCTGTCTTGTAATCCCCGGGAACGGCTTTACACAGGTTTGTTTCTGAGCAGCATTCTCCGGACTTACATCAGTACTAGAACAAGTCAGCTGCTTCACAGAGGATGAGCTCAGTTACGTCATTTACTAGACAACGGCAGTTCACTTTCCAGTCTAATTCTCATTTGTACAGTCGTTCTTTACGGCTATTATGGTAGTCCTTTGTTCCCCCACACCTTATAAACTTCCACAGATATCATCCTGACTTCATTTGAGTGTTTCAGATGAACACTTTCTCGTTGCTTTTCCCGATCATAGTAGAATAAAACAGACCGAATGGAAAAATTACCATGTGGCTCAGAAAAGTACGAATCCCATACTGTATGTTAGACAGCAACTAAAGAAATTACGGAAATCTGTCCTAACCCTCTTTTCTATATTTCCATTCAGTTCTTCAAAGATTTGTAGTGATGACTACTTGATAAGCTGCAGTACGTAGCTGGTGAACTTTTATTGACACAGACTCATCGAAGAGCACTCGGGAATACAAGACTAAATAAACGAACAATAAGCATCCTACTGTGGCACCGCTTGGTGTGTGACTGCTGCGCAACTCGAAGGAAGCACGAAAGCTGAAGTACTGTCAGGTTGACGAAGACTAGACAGCAGTTATCCAAAAGCCAGGGTTAGTTTCGAACAGCAATCCAACCGACCAGTAGTCGCAAGCCTCCAGTGCTGAGTCAGCTCAGTTTTAATCAGAAACACGAAAGCTGTTTTCTATAATACTTTACAGTCTGATTGGTCTGGTTAGGCTGGATCCAGTGATGAGCAACATAAGTGGTTAGCGTGTTACTCGGTTTTTTATTCAAAAATTGCCTTCTCATTTGACTGGAAAAATTCAATATATGAATTGCAGGCTACTAATGAAGCGTGAAGCTCTACACGAGCATATCACGTGACTCGTTTTAAGATTGGTTACTAGCGTAAATATGGGTACAGTTGAGGGTAATGTGAATTGGTCGTAACGAATGCAACATATCTTAGTCGCCCAACTCTCCTACAAATATGCAGTAGCGCTCGCTTGACCTCCCTGACCTAGTTTGATCAGACAAGAATGGTTAGTATGCGCAAGTGATGTAGTGAAGGATAACGCGTTTACTGCGGAATTACAGTGAACCTTACATGGCACCTGAGTCCCATCAGTTGTTGTTTTGAGGGCGAATATGTTGTAAAGCCTGACGTGGCTCTTTACATTCCTTACAACCAAGCCGGATTTGAATGGAATTTTCGACCTTGTCAACGCAGACTCTCTGGAAGGTGATGGAAACTCCTGGCAGACTGCTCAACCCCACTTCTTATAGCGCACTTGCTGTCGTAAATATGTTGGAAAAGGCAAACACCCGGGGAGGTAAATTGATAATCAAGTTTGTCTGAATCAACTCATGCCAGCATGCGAAGCATCCTATGCAGAACAACTAATGAAGCAGCCTGGAATAGTTTCAAAAAGGAAATTCCTCACAAGGTTGCTGAAAACTCCCCGACAGCGCACGACCGGTTTCGCCCTTCTTGGGACTCATCAATAAGGCGTAGTCTTCGAGTTTCCGCCGGCATTATGTTCTATTTGAACCCAAATGGGACCGATTGTGACAAATACACTCATTTGCATATCGATTCGGTTTTCACCAGCGACTCAACTGAATCTCTCGTTAATGATATTCCTTGAATATTATTGCCTCAATCGACAAGGCTGTCGTCTTTCATTCTGAACCGTTTAAATGGTATCAGAGTGGAAGCGCTTCCGTTTGAACTATGACTTGCAGATGCTTTCCTCATATCTCGTGTGAGCAGATTTTCCTGGCTGTTGTAAGCAAACCTTGCAACAAGATTGATAAGAAACGGACGTCTACAACTCAGCTAATATCTGGTCCAGTTTGAGTTATGAAATAAAGACCTGATGGGAAGTGTATCTTATTTTCTTACAAACTGGACAATGGGGATGTGATGCTCCCCGTGCCCAGTTCCACTGTCAATGCGTTGTCTCCATGGCTTTGATTGAGATACTCTAGCACGGTTTGTGTTGAACACAATGAACGTATCATTGATACAGTGGCTATAAGACGTGCTTTCAAAATATTCCATGAAGACATCAACCGAAACTGGTCCACGTGTTCACAGAACCAGATGAGTTCGGAAACGTTGTCGGAAATATCTAGTTCATCAACATGTGAACCCAGGATGTCACTTCTGTTTATGAGTAAGACGAATCAAAAGGGAACCAAATAAAAACGGATCTTTGGCCGTTGTACTGATTCTTTGTCAGTCCACAAGTCATTCGAGAAGCTGGTTTTAAATCGAGTCCTTATTGTACGAAATCCGACAAACTCACTCATTTACATACCTGTTTCGTTTTAAGAGGAGAATATCCTCAATCCCAGCTGAAGAATATTCCAAATTAGAAATTCAGCTAGGATTCAGGTGTCCCGTGAAAGCCAAGTTGGTATCCTAATGAGTGTATTTGTTGAATTCAACTCATTGGGGAGAATTTTCGGTAACACAAGTAGCGTACATAGCTGTTGGATCCTTCGCTGAAATCGGCGATTAGAATCCAAACACTTCATCAACCGAGTCCGATTCTATTTGGTACTACGATGTTCATTATTCCTGCTGTCGTAAAATTACTGGAAGGAATCAGATGTTCGGAGTAGTAACAGCATTTTACAGACCTGGAATTTACGAGGCTTGATAGGTTCCGCTAGGAGAATTAAGGTCACGAAGTTTTTTCCCATTCTTGTCCGTCGCCTTGAAGCTGAAAGCAATAAAGCCTGTCGAATGTGTCGACTGACGTAGGCGCTTCTTAGTTTTCGGATATCATTTTTTGGTGCAAATTTACACTGTGTTGATAGGCAAAACTACTTAAACCTCACTGAGAACAACCACTGATCCTTAATTGTTCATAAATTCATCCAGCCATCGGTAGGCTGTTAGCAACTCGAGGCTACTGTGAACACTGAACTTCGTGTCCAAGAACCGCACCTATTCCAAACTCACCAGCTGCACAAACTAGGCGACAGGCGGTCTAAAACTAAGGCGACTGATCACGTGATTGATCCCTTTACACTCAACTGTTGGCTGTTCGTAACTGCAACCATATCTTCAATATTTCATGAAATCTAGAGATATCACCAAAGCGAATACCAGTCATGCTAACGATCGGTAACCTAGGAAGTGAGAATGGCAATGGTGAATACGTTCACTTACCATATGCTTTCATAAACTCAAAGATGTTCGAATTTCTAATCAGATTTGGGCCGAGTTCTGTTCCAAGTTTTGGTTGACCTTTGTTTACTGGCGCGCCGATCATGTTAACCTGTGAATAGAGAGGCCAAGGTTGGTCATACGCTACAGTGGAATCATGGAGACCAGCTGAAATCCAGAAAAAAAACGAAAGAACAAGATTAATGTTGTTTACAGGGCAGGTGGAGATTGGTGTTTTCCGTAGTGGATGAATTAGGTTGCGGTACGCTTATGCGACGTCCGTATACTCTTACGATATCTTCCAAGAAAAGCAGTAAGACAGAACTTACAGCTCGTCTGAGAAGGCTCTTGTGAGGTGAGGCTGGCAAAGGATTCCATAAAATACCCTGTTCGCCATTATACCACTTACGCTGTAATGCACACAAGATACTTTGCCCAAAGGCAACTTTGTGTAAGGGTATGAACCGTATAGTTAACGCGACCTCTCCGCCGAAGGCCTTACACAACTGGAGCTGGAGATAGCTCAGTGGCTAAGGCGCCATCTTACGGACCGGAAGGCCCGTGATCCCAACCCGACCTCTGTATCTCGACTCCTCCTGTCTAGGCCCGGAAAGCCCTGCAGTATCCCAGCCTTCGTGCCTACTTCCGTTGGCATGGCAGCCAGACGCCAAAAGAGTACCACATCTGAACGGTTTGACTTTTTTGTTATAACATTACGGTACCGGTGGCATAATAAATACGGTTCATTATATGATTATACATCTTTCTGCACTTGATAATCAGGCCAGTCTGCTTGTCTCAGGGACACTTTGTGGTGAAACAGTTCACTGACGCAGTGTAAGGCAGAGTGGAAGCTTTATCGTCACTATTATTGCAAATGTGTTCTGAGATGTTCCTCCCACAATCATCAAGTCGTTACACAGACCCCCAACTGGCTTATAGCTATCCTTATTCGCTCTAGTTGCCGGCAGGCCTCCTTTGTCCCCTCTTTATTCGAACAAGTAAACCGTGGAATAACCTGCCAACCTCTCCAGCCCTGCTGTGCACTGTTATCTACAGAGGGTTGCTAAAAGCGGGGCGTCCCTTTTTCTGTGAAGCGTTCGTTGTGTTTGTCCTTTATGATCATTTGTTTAGTGAGACTCGCGGTGCAACCGGCTCACCCTCAAACAGACAGACTTTTTGAGTTGTTTTTTTTCGTGTGTACAGTTTTGGAATTGACTACAATGAACTTTCCTAAAGGCAGTTTTTTGATATGCCTCTAAGAATTCATGGCTTGTGGAAGGTCATACGTATATCGGAAGTTGCATTAGCTCTGACGGTAGTGTGACTGAGAAAATCAACACACGAACCACAAAATCCGAAATCACTTTAGCAAATTTGCGCTGCTGCTGGCATCAAAAAGAAATAGTACTGGTTCTCGAAGTACGCATTGTCAGACAACAACCGTATTGTTGTGTGGTTGCGAGACTTGGTCACTGCCTCCACTGATCAGAGTCGGCTGGAATCAAAGAATGCGGACTGAGGTGATCAAGAGATGGGTCTTTGGTAGTGCAGAAGATACTTTACTCAATAAATCCACCAAGCACTGCAAGCTAAGGTGGCTGGGTCATGTGCTAGGCATGCTGACTTACCGTCTGCCAAGAGGGTTGTTTTCGGCACCTAAATCAAGGTGGCACACTGAGTTATGTTCCCTTCAGTTGCAAAGACGTAGCATATCCTACATACAACCCAGAGCTGTTCGACGGAGGACAGTGGAGCAGCAACATTTCACCACAATTTCCTTTTAATATCACTCACGAGCGGTTGATTCTAACAACCTTTTAATTTTAAGCATAGTTGAGCCTTCTTGGAGTAAAGTAACAACCCCTCGCAGACGTATGCAGAGTCGGAGTAAAGGTAAGTAGGTCGGCAGGAGTGACGTTGTTTACAACTTCCTCGGAATTTGTACTTTACCGAGGTATTGTTCATTCAGATCCAAGGTTGAACCGAGGAATGCGGGATACAAATGGCTGGACAGCGATCACTAGGTCTGGAACTTATGAAACCTAGATACAGCTGCTAGTCTGAGCACAAACCTAGTAGCCCATCTCAATTACCTGAAAAAATAATAATAATCATTCAGCTGTGACACCCTTTGGGTGCCTAGTTGACGTGCCATCCGAAGGAAGCACGAGGGCTGAGATACTGCCACGTTGCCCAAGCCTAGACTGGGGAAGTGGAGAGACAGAGGTCGGGTTCGAACCACGGACCCTCCGGTCAGTAAATTCGCGCTCTAACCACTTGAGCCATCTCGCCCCAATTACCTGAAAACCTAGCACCTACACTAAACCGCGCATTTAGATTTCCAGCTAGCACCACATAATATGTCTATGTGATTTAACGTTGGAGGCTGAGCAGTCACTGCTATAAACCATCCTTGAATGCGTCGGTGTTGTAACCGCTTGATGCAATTGCGAGCATGACAAGCTCGGTGCCTGTCTATAACCATTAGTGAGTATCCAGTGGGTAAACAGTCCAGAGTACCACAGAAGTCTCACGGACGCAATTCCGTCTACATAAAAATAACACTCGATTTGGCTGAGTGAAAATTCCATGTCTTTCAGAGAAGAAGGTGAACTTACCTTTCCGTCGGGGCTTCGTGTGAATATGGTTAACCCTATGTCCCTTGCTGCTGGGTCGGCGTAGGTTTGCTGTAAGTAGGGCACGAGGTTGATATCCCAGCTGACAAGCCATTATCCCGACTTGTAAGAAATGCTTCATCGTTCGTTCAATTCGTGTTTGTCTGATGGTTCACAAATGAAAGGCAATTCCCTCATCAACACTTGTCGTGGACGCTTCAGACTTGTGAAAATGCACACTTATTTGGTGGTGGGTCAGAAACAAGCATCCAAACTACACCTGTTGGCTGGAAACTTTGAGATCCACGAAAAGAATTTTCTGTCGATTCTTGCACCGACTCTAATCGATAACGATTGGTGATTTAGAAAGATGATCCAAAGACAACGATGCCCGTAACGCTCTTGTGCGCCAACTGAGAGGCGTGTTCCGTGTTCATACCGAGGTCAACAGTCCTGCATTTTTCAGTGTCCAGGCCTGGACCAATGGCTGAACTCCACGTGATACCATGCGGTCGATGTCTACTCGCTAGTGGCCAATGGCAGACGAGAAACTAGCTGCGCACACCGAGGGAATCGGTTGATACGCGATGCCGAAAGAGGCGGGTGTCAGCTGTCAAGTGAGCGAAACCGGAGTTTACGGATGTGAGGGTCGCGCATGCAGGGCACACATTTTTGTATATTTAGAAATGCTTTGGTGTGAAGGCGGAGGATGGCAGCACAAGGCATATATGACAATTCATCTGGCCGGGCTTCGCAATCAAATGCGCTGACAACCAATACTGGGGCAGTCCTCCATGTGGATGAACGTTTGGAAAACTACAAATGCGTCCTACGGGCTACCTTATTCAGGATTTGAAGTTCTTCCCAAACCTGTAGGGGACAGGAGGCTATTTTTCGTGGTTTCGGTGTAACTGCTCTTCAAAAGTGATTAGGTACTAAAATCCCAATAAAATGCTACGTATTCATCAAACCACCAGAAAGAACCGGATGTATTGTTTTACATTAGCAGAGAACCGCTACGGTCTATTCGTTCTCTGTTGGATTACATCACTTATGACGTTCAACACTCCGTGTAGGTTTCCTATTCAGAGGAACAACAACGTCAGCACCATATGAGAATGGATCCAAGTCATTCAAACCGTCGTTTTTTAATAAATGTTTTCCCCAAGTTAGTACTGCAGTCTCGAAAGGTTAACGTTGAATTTTAGGCAGAAAATCTTCCTCGAACATCTTTCTCCGGATGCATGCGGCCTGTTCCCAGAACATGCGGCTCCAGAACGCTTGCTTTTCATTCTCTCGCGCTCACGAATTACTAAAAAATCATACCGAAATTATTTTGCTTTCTAATATACCCCTAGCTTTTTGCCATTGGAGCGCTAGTTCAAGTCCGATTACATTCAAAGTAATGAAACCTCGGAAGTGATCGGTATCAGTTGGTAAACCAGAGAACTTGGAAGAAATTCTAAAGTGATGGGAGAATGTAGTAAACTAAAAGACATTGGAGCTAAAAAGGTCAGATAATTTGGCAATAAGTTGAACTACGCAACAACAGACCACTCAACATGAATTTATGAGTGTCATTAGTTTATTATCTGATCAAGGCCCTCCAGACAAGTAAGTAAAGACACGACATTCAGGTTCACTGGGAGACAGGGCTTCCGACATCATTAGGCTCAAATCCTTCGATTCGTTTGTGGGGCTCAGGGATGTGAGTGACTCGCTGAGATGTTCTACAAAAGGCTGTTTCTACAAGCATGTGAATTCAATGACGGAATGACATTTGTATTGCACCTGTACTCATAAAGCGCAATGCATTGTTGGCGTATCAATCTACATTTCCGGCACTGCGAAGTATATGGCCGGAGGATTTTCAATTCGTTCTCATATGTCAACAAATGAACACGTTTGGCTTTTTACATTTGGAAAAAATGATAATAGTAATGATGACCAAGATGTAACACACTTCCGTTGTCTAGCTGTCATGTCATCCGAAGAAAGTAGGAGGACCGAGATAGTACCAAGTTGCCCAGGCCTTCAAAAGATCAGTCGGGAGACAGAGTTTGGGTTCGAACCATGGACCTTCTAGTCAGTAAGTTCACACCTTAACCACTAAACGCATTATGTGATTTTCCTGTCTGCTGATGCTGACAGGTTGGAGTGTTAAGCATTTTATTATATTCAGCGGTGTCTCATCATCCATTTAGTACTATTGCTTCTTTCATTTTGTAACCCAAACAGACAGCAAGTCACCTAAAAGTGCATCGAACTGTTCACATGGGGTACGTTTGAAAGAGACATAGTGACAAAAATTCCGTGTTGTTGGAGCGTGATGCTTTTGGCGTCCTATAATGGTCCTGTAATGGTCCTATTTAGTGCCGTCATCTTGAATTACATCTGTTATCACCTGAAATCGGCGATGGAGCTACATAAGTATAGATGAAGTAGAAGGTGAAGCGAGAAAGCAATTAGGGAAGAAATCAGCTCCAGACGGTCGGTGCTGGCTTCGAGTCTGTCTGTGAAACGAAGGCGGCAAACCAACTGGTCAGTTACTAAGACTCCAGTGCGTGAATCCAGGCAGGAAAAGGTTTACTATTGCCACTAGTCGTCACCAGTAGACAGCAGAATGGGATGTACTACCAGGACAATGCATTACTTCATGCTTCTCCTATCATCCACAATTGACTTGTGTTCCGTTTCAAGTGAACTTATGAAGTGACACCATTCCAAGTTTCTAGTCGACTTGGGGAAGTCAAAGACAATGTTCATGAAAAGCTTGAAGGAGTCAGGTTTACAAGGAGACGAACCGTATACCGTCCGGCCCAGAAACAGCTCTTCGTCATTCTTAGGACCACCACATTTGAGCTACACTGAACAGTATGTGCTGAAAATGGGGAAAATGTTTATTTAAGTTGACATATTCTAAACAACTATCTCCACGTGCATGAAATATTCTTTGACGTGGAGTGGAAATGAGAAACGGTTTGGCATCTGACTGATCTGTCTGCAATTATTTTGAAGCTAAATTCGATATTAGACGTTAGGTCAACATGAGGCAAACCTTACGTGCTTGAGGTGTGTGCGTACTGCCCACCAGCTAGATGGGGACAGGTGAATAGCCAATGAGGAAAAGCCTCCTTTCAAGAGTTCATCGAGTATCGAATCAGTATATTCTTCTACTTCAGACAGTACAGAATTACTCCGTGGTGTTTAAGCAAAGTAAATAGCAGTGGTGCATTCACCCAAAGTTGCTGGTTTATTCCTGACACTTTCAGTCGTCATCTGTCGTTTCCTTTTCGAGAGGGCAATCATTCCAAGTCCAATACCATAAAACATTTTCCACATGCATACTCAAGTGTACGTGCGCGGACTGCTAAATAGGATATGCTGATTTAATTCGTCAAAAATCGGTAGCATTATTGGGTCCAAAGAAAGGGTAATTTTTGATTGTACAATTTTTCACCATACAACAGGGACTACTGAAATAAAGAATAAACCTTTAACTACAGTTTATATGCTTAGACTCAATTGGGAGGTCGACATGGACTTATTCCACTTGGGAGTTTATCCTTACGGGCAACTATTAGAGATATTTTTCGAAGGAATTTCCCACTTCCTAGTGCTCCAGTCTTCGCGTAGTTGCATTTCATTATCATCAGTAAAAAGAATAAAAGATCGTTGGTTGATTAATGACAGTGTGGGCTAGCCATCATCCGATTAGTACATTCAGACAATTTGTTTTCGGCAAAATTATACTGTGCTCAGAAATCTACTTAGTTAACTGATAAAAAAATACAAAAGGTTACGGGTCGCGGTTTTTCATGTGCAGCTTACTGAACGCTGCCTGCATGACCTCAAATCCTTGAGTTCAAACAGCTTTCCTAGCACAGCATTTTCAATGTCCTGTTTAGATAAATCAAGTAACTGAACTTGAAGCCATTTAGCAAAGTAAACTAACGAACGCAGCGAGTTCAGAGACTGGCATGATACCATTGACCCCATTACGCGATACGACAATCGTTAGAAAAGCTTCGTGTCATGGAAGTAGTTCATCTCTCTCTTTTTAGTATAGTAGCGCGAATAGATTGTGCTGGTGAAAGGAAGAAGGCCTTCGCTGCGGAGTTATTCATTAGAATATGCCAAGTGACCGGTTACAAACCATTGGACAGGGAAGCAAAACTCTGAGTTGCATCTTATTTACAAAAATTAGATATCCATCTTCTCCTGAACACGTCTTCTTGAACTTTCCTAGACATTCGTTGACTCCAATCATTCATCGCTCAGATCCAAGCAAATGTTACAAAGCGACTCCACAAATCCCGCAACAGATCTCCCCTTTTCAAGAGACGCAAAGCGAAGTTCCACGAACAACATATACTACTCGCGTGCCTCCCCATCAGCAGTATCACCGTCACACTGGTGTCATGTGGGGCATCGAATCATGTCCGCCAAAATGAAGCCCGAGTACCTTCCCATTTTGTGGGACCGATGACTCATTAATGCTTCTTCACTGGGTTCAAATCGCCTGGTACCAGATACGAACCACACCTCTGTTCCTGAGGGAACTACCACGTTTTACTACCGGATTTGCAGGTCAGGTTAACTTGAGGTGTGGACGTATCGCATGGGTTGTATATCTTCAAGGACTTGAGTGAAAATTACAGGTGACCCCCGAAAGGGTGAAGCTAGAATAAAAATACGGCAAATATGGATAAAAAGCGAAGGTTGTAATCGATGGTTCCAACAGTGGGTAGAGTAAAGCCTGAAATAAATCACTACGGCAAAAGCGATTTAATCACGTTACATTAACAAAATGGTTGGTCAAAAGACCAAACGGAGTTTAAAGCAGTCGTATAAAAGATGAATGAAACAACCACACTCGCCTTGGCTACCTGACCATAAACGAATTCAACTTGTGAATTTATTGAAGAGTGGATTTAGTGCGCTTATTTGCAAGATCTGTTCGCTTCAGTTTAGCTATTTCTAACCGTCAAAAATTCAAACTGATCTGCTTTGTTTCGAGGACCTGGAAGTGACGGGCTTGTCAGCTGGTATGGGACACTTTCTATTACTACCAAATTGACTGCTATTATGCTGCATACACAAACAGCTCTAAAGCCTTATGGGTCAGTTATTTACCAGAGCGGTGGCTCATTGAGGACGGACACTGTTCAAAGGATTGAATAGTGATGAAGAAGAAGTGACTTTCATGTTTTGAGCGACTTCATTATCCTCTGGATCTAGTGGCCCTATCTGATCTGTATCATGAATGAAGCATCCCTTGATGTGGAACTGCTAGCTTGGATTGCACCTACAATACTGACCAAGCGAAGCTCCAAACCAACCCGCAGACAGCCCAATCAATCACCAAAACACACTAAACTTCTTCTTCAACTCACAAGTGACACAAGACGCACCGCTTACTCACCTCCTATAGGTGCCATTGAGCAGG